CCTCAACATCGTTCATCTCTGATTCTTTTTCCTCATTTTTACCATGCGGCCTCAGTTCATGTTCTTCTACTCTTGTCCTAGACTAGTGAAAAAATTCTGTATTGGCTCATCCAGTTTCATATGCCTTCAACCTGTCCTTTCCATTGCAGCCTAGATGGTCTTCCCAAAATGCAAAATGCTGTTTCTCCCTATCTAAATCCTGCATTGACCTCATTTCAACTATTGATAGAATTAAAATACACCAGCATGCCCTAAAAGGCCTCCTTAGCTTGCAGGCTTACCCCTTGCCAAGTTTCCCTCCTCCAACTCTACACCTAAGCTGCACATATTGCTTATAGTTCTGTAAAACTACAAAGCTATTGAAAACCCTCATAGCTTTCCCTTCATGTGTCTTTCTGAATGTAGCGTCCCCAGCCTCTCAAACACTTTCACTCCTGATGCCTTATTATGTGAAATATGTTAAAATTAACTCAACTCTCCACATCACTCCTTCTGTTAAGTCTTTCCTGAGCTCCTCTACTTAATTAGGTAGATATAAGCAAGCTCTCAGCTATACCATACATGCTGCTGCCATAACACCTTATTATACTTTACCTTAGTTGAGAATTGTATTAGGCTTTCAATTTCCTTATGAACAGGGACCATATCACATTGGACATCAATACTCAGTACTAGGATAACTTGACCCCACACATAAGTTTGTGAAAAATGCATGATGGTGTTGTCTTTCATTTTTACTAGCTTAATTGTTTGGCATTTTTAAACACAAACATAGTTGTGATGTCAAGTGTTATTGACAAAATAAACATCTAGAAATTAAATGAATGTGTGTGCTTTATTTTTATTAATTCTACAAAATAAAAGTTGCCAGCTCTGAATGGTGTCACAGCATTATGCTGAAGCTGAATCTTCCACATTGCCAAAAAATTCTGACTGATTTCTGCTCTGTTATTTTTTACCAGCAAAGGTATATCAGATATGTTTATATAAGAAATAATTATACTTCTATGATGACATTCCTCTAAATGTTTGCCTTACCAATAAAAGATGAAAACAAGATATCATATATGTAGGGTAAGATAACTATTTCCAGATGTTTCCCTCCAAGACAATTCTTTCCATTTCTTGCAAAGAGGCCCCCAGATGTTGCAGCTAGTGTTTTATCTTGCTCCACCTCCCTCTCCACCCTTCAAGCGCAGCAGAACTTATTTGTACATGCTGTTCTTGATTATGCTGATCACTAGTCCTAGAGAGAGCTCCTGGCTCCAGTCAGAGGTGGAAAATGAAGTTATAGACAAGACACTCAAAACCACAGCCCTAAAAATGGACTCTTCATAATATTTTTTGGAGGAAAACACTTTGTATCGTATTTCATATCTCCTGTGGCTACAGAAATTGACATTCCTACTTTTGTCACTTAGCTTCGTGTCAAAGAGGTTGGAAATCCCCAATGTCCCCTAACAGCTTACCGGATAGTTTAGTTAAAAAAAAAAAAAAGCCACATCAGTGGGTCTCAAGTGGAGGATCATTTAATAAATGGAAAGTGAATATCAAGAGTTTAGTAGGAGAAAGAAAGGAAAACCAAAAGTTATCTGATAAAAAAATAAGGAAGAGAACATTTTTGAAAAAAATAAAATAATAAGGTATATCCAGATTTGCAAAGGTGAAGAAAATGATGATATAGTCAGAAGGGAAAGGACATATTGAAATACAGGCACTGAATAAATGTCTGTTCAATCTGATACAGACTGACAGAAAACTGCTGAAAGGAACGCTTTAGGAATTCTCAAGAAATGGAATGTTGAAAGGAATTCTACATTTCTGGAGTGTCTGTAATATATCAAGTATTTCACATAATTCATCATTCTCAGTACTCAGGACCACCTTGTAAAGGAAGTTTTATTACTTCTGTTTAATATTAATTAAAGTTAATATAAACTAACATACCTAAAGAATTTAAAACACTGACAGCACATAATGAGTCCTGTATACAGGTTTGTGGCCATTAATATTTTATAAATAAGGACTATGATGCCACCAGGATACATGAATAACGCCTCCAAAGTTACACAGAAGGTAAGTGGTGTACCTGGGTTAAGACCTGGAATCTAGTCGTGCCATGTGATTCCTTTTCACTAGAACTTAAGTCATATTTTAGCTTTAGATTGGCTGAGTGGCCCAGGAAATAAAATCCTTCTCTAAGTGTGTGAATTATGGAACTGAATAGAACTGAAAAAAAAAATCACTAATATGTCATAGGGGGAGTAATTGGAAATAAAATTATAGGATAGAAGCAAAATATAACTAACATTAAATATTTTCATAATTTGATTCAATCTTCTCCACAATATTCTGAAATCAATACAGTAAAAGGGGATAGGGACTGGACATAATGGAATTTGACGCCATTATTTAAATTATTGAATCACAGACGTCCAGAGGTAAAGGAACCTTAGAAAGCATTTGCTTTAATCATCCTTCATTTCACATATGATAAAACCAAACGTCTGATGTTGACATGACTCTCTTAAGGGCTCACAATTTCAAGAGGCAAAATTATTGTAACAGAAAACTAGGGTTAATTGGTATACTTGAAAATCCCCCTCTAAAGCCATGACTTCAAAACCAGCAAAAACGTGGCTTTTATAAATCTAAATTTCCAGATCAGATGGTAAACGAAACAATACCTGGCTTGTTTTAGGGAAGGTGGGAAAGAGAAAGGATGTAGCTTTAATCGTACATAAAATTTCACTTTTGTATGCTATGCCTGCATGGAAAAAGCAACACATGCTCAACTGCAAACCACTAGGCTAGCAATAGAATTTCAGAAAAACAAACATCTGTATGTAGATGATTGGGTTTAAATTTCCAGATATTCACGTATAAGGCATTTTGTGGAAAGTGCACAGCTACACATCACTGTAAATCACAACAACATTTCTTCTTTTTTCTCTATTTTGTACATTTCTAGGAAGGATAGCTCATCTCGCACGTTTTGCAAAGGGGTCTGGTCTATTCGGACCCGAGGAGGCAGAGTACCTGTGCAGCGGGGCTCCGGCCGCCGGGTTGTGGCAGAGGCTTGAGAATACAGGCTCATGGTGGTGTCCTCATCATCATCCAGCATGTCCCTCGTGCTGCTGTACTTGGCCTGCATCTGGATTCCCGCAGCGGTGAGAGTGAAATATGGTGGGATTGCCCCGGGCCGCCTGGCTACTGTGAGCTAGTTCAGGAAGCAAGGCACTGAAAGGCATTCCTAATGTTCTTTCCGGGCAAGTAGCAGGGGAAGTCTCTGACTGCAGTTCCTGACTGGAGAGGCCCAGCCCCTCTCCTGTGAGCTTGTACTCTGAATGCCAAATCAGTCAGGCTGAGGGGAAACAGCATGTGCTTTCCGTTTAGGCTGTCCCTGTCTCAACAGTTATCAAAAAGTTGGCCTTTCTCAGTCTCTTTTGTTTACCTGTTTGCACTTCTCATGGAACTACAGCGTAAAGAAGGCAGGTTCTTAGAATAGCACGGTGGTTCCTTCAGTCTGCAGAATAATAATATGTTGGGAGGACACACATCTCTGTTTCCTACCCATCCTTTAAGGAGTCGCTTAAGTTAACCTCTCTGTGCCTTTGTGAAAAGAGAAGAGCTTATAGGACCTAGCCCCTTCCTTTCTCCAAGAACAGAGTAGTGATCTCTCTTACAGTATCTGAACTTAACATTTTATAGCACATTTGGTACATTATGATCACAAGGAATTATACATTTTACTGGAAATCATACAGAGTTTTCACCTGAAAGCACCAAAAACCAAATTAGGCTATAATAAACTATAAACATTAAATTCAAATCCTTAAGAAAAATTAGAGGAAATAGTCTGCCCAAGTGAGAAAGAACCAGAAAACTAATTCTGTTAAAATGATAAATGGGGTTCTGTAACACCTCCCAAAAGATCACATTAGCTCTTTATCAATGAAGCCAAACCAAGATAAAATATTAGAAATACCAAATGAAGAATTCAGATTAAAAGTTGCTCAAGGAGATACCGGAGAAAGGTGAAAACCAACATAAAGAAATTTTTTAAAAATCGTGTGTAAAATTCTCACTGTAAACTTTTTTCCAAGAAGCAATGCAGGAAGTGAACAGCAAAACTGAAAGGATCCACAGACTCTTTGAAAGAAGCAGCAGGCTGCAGCCTACTCTGTGAGCCAGGTGAAAAACCGTAAGCCCCCAGTGTGAGAGGTAAAGAGACTGGCTCCAGGATACATACTCCCACTGGGGAACCTGAAAGTCCAGGCCATGGGGTAAGGCCTTAACCCTTCGCAGCACTGGAACCCATTTAAGGAGCAGTGAGAAATATAAAGGTAAAAGCAGCAGCAGGAAGAGGCATTCCCAAACTCCAGCATGAACCAAGGGAAGCTATTCCTTAGTATACCTCACAGAAAACCTCATGGAACTCAGCCAACTGGCTCAGGCAAGGGCTGTACCTTGAAAAAAGCTCCGAACTGAAATTCACAATATAACCTCAAGTGAAGATGAACTCCCTTGGTCAGAACCAGAAAGGTGAGTGGGAAGTGTGCTGCAGCATGAGTGCAGGATCTGGGTGTGAGCTTTGCGGGTGGACAGAGAGGGGCACGGCCTGAAAGCCAGCAGTTGCTGTCACCACAAAAGCTTATGGCCTCAGGCAGTTGTGAGCTCTGAGTGCAGACTGCCTGGAACATAGCTCACTGCTGCCAGCAGGGTACTGTAGGAGCCTGATCTGCCTTGCCAACTGTGTGGAATCTGGGTTAGGCTCACTGCTGCGTGCTACTCCCTGTGTAAACTCTTCTGTGCAGCAGAGGCAGCAATGCTCCCCTATGGAACATTACCCCAGTGGCCAGAGAACCAACTCCATCTCCAACAGGGGCCACTGCTTTCCATGCACATGGTGACTCAGAGTGCAGACCCACCTAACACAGCCCTCATCTGGCTTTGCCCCTCCACTCATCGTGGTAGCTTAAGACAAAGGGTAGAAACCCTAGGGAGGTTTATAGCCCCATCCATCACCTGAGAGCCAGACTACTGACCGTGGGCAACGTAAGGCAAGCACAAATCGCACTGCTACTGCCACACCTGGTACTCTTTTGCAAATGCCACCCTATAGCTGGAAGCCAGCCAACACAGTCCATTACAGCATCTGCAGGTGGAATAACACTGCACTCAGAAAAGAGAAAACTACTGTGTGACCTCAGCTATTACCACTGCCTGCACCACCCTGTCTAACCAGGACATCCTGAGACTGTCCACATGACTAGTTCATTACTACTTTAACTGGCATTCAAGAAAGACAACACACTAAAGTTATCTATAATCAAGAATCTCACAGAGTCTATGTCACTCCTCTGGCACCCCCATCAGAGCTGGTAGTGATAACTGCTGCTTGGAGACTGGAGGACAGGTCACATCACTGGATCCTTAGCAGACATCCCCCAGCAATAGTATGGAGCCACTGAGTGGCTGGATCCAGAGGAACAGCAGCACTCATAGTAGTCTGTCTCTCAGGTACTCCTACTCCTAGGGGAAGGGAGAGTGCACCACATAAAGGGAACACTCTGTGTGACAAAAGAATCCAGATGGCAGGTCTTGAGGATCAGATTGTTCCACTGGTAGGAAGTTTCTTTCAATAGAGGCAGAATTGCAGGGCTGGGCTCAGCATGGAATGTCCATAGCTGTACCCCAACAGTCAGACAGCCCTGGTCTTATCAAGGATCTTGGAGAAGGGGACTTCCTACCTACCTCATCCTCCACTGCACACACAGCTGAGTCTTCTCCCACAAGAACTCGACATGGGTGCACCCATAGACAGACTTTCTAGAACACTTCAGGGTGACTGCATCCCCACAGGAGAAGCAGCCTCCAGTTTCAGGCTTACATGAGAGGCAGAGTCACAATTCTTCTCTACTTGGAACATTACATTCTGACAGATGAAAAGAGAGGCCTGTGGATAGCTTCCCTGCTGACCTGGCAGAAGAGCTAAGGTAGCTACCACCCTGGTAAGACTTCAGTGTGTCTGACTGACAGCTCCCCAGCTCCCTCTGTCAAGGCTGGGACCTCTGCCCACCATCGGATACTGTGTTTACCCACTTGCTTTAGCCACAGTGGGTTCCTATCTAGGAACACCTCTCCTACTGGCCTGAAGCTTGAACCATCAGCCCAGTGAATAAAATACTAGGGAAAAGTAAATAAATTAAAAAGTGCATACCGCATTGGAGTGAGATAAGCTTCCAGAGACAGTAAGTTTTCTTGCACACCAAGCACATTATTACTATGACTAGCATCTGAGAAAGCCATCATACCAAGTCTCTCTATAACCAAGGAAATTATACAGAGTTTTCACCTGAAAGCACCAAAAACCAAATTAGGCTATAATAAACTATAAACATTAAATTCAAATCCTTAAGAAAGAAAATAATTTTTTTTAAAGAATCACACAATCAAATCAAAAATATATTTAAGAAACATTAGAGGAAATAGTCTACCCAAGTGAGAAAGAACCAGAAAACTAATTCTGTTAAAATGATAAATGGGATTCTGTAACACCTCCCAAAAGATCACATTAGCTGTCTAGCAGTGAAGCCAAACCAAGATAAAATATTAGAAATACCAAATGAAGAATTCAGATTAAAAGTTACTCAAGGAGATACCAGAGAAAGGTGAAAACCAACATAAAGAAATTTTTTTAAAATTCAGATTATAAATGAAACATTTTCTAATGAGCTAGATATCATTAAAAAAAGAACTTCGGGAAATGAAAGGCACATTTAGGGAATTATAAAATGCAGTAGAAAGTTTTAACAATAGTCTAGAAGAAGTAGAAGAAAGAATTTCAGAATTCAAAGACAAGGCTTTCAAATTAACCCAATTAGACAAAAATGAAGAAAAAAGAATCACATGAACAAACTCTCCAAGAAATATGGTAGTATGTAAAATAGCCAAACCTAAGAATAATTGGTGTTTCTGAGGGAGAAAACAAAAAGTTGAGAAAACTTATTTGAAGAAATAATTGAGGAAAACTTCCCTGGCCTTGCTGGAAATTTAGATATCCAAATCCAAGAAGCTCAAAGAACTCCTGAAAAATTCATTGCAAAAAGAGCACCACCAATGCATAGTCATCAGGCCATCTAAAATCAACATGTAGAAAAGAAATCTAAGAGCAGTGAGACAAAAAGCATCAGGTCACCTATAAAGGAAAACCTATAAGTCTAACAGCAGACTTCTCAACAGAAACCTTATAAGCCAAAAGGAATTGCGATTCTATCTTTAGCCACCTGAAACAGAATAACTGTCAGCCAAGAATGTTGGATCCAGCACAACTAAGTTTCATAAATGAAAGACAGATAAAGTCATTTTCAGACAAACAAATGCAAGGGAATTTGTAGTGCTACCAAACCAGCACTACAAGAAATGTGAAAAGGAGTTCTAAGTCTTGAAACAAAAGCTCAATATGCACCAAAACAGAACCTCTTGAAAGCATAAAATTCACAGGGCCTATCAAATAATAACACAATGAAAAACACAAAGTATCTAGGTAACAATTAATATGATGAGTAGAACAGTACCTCACATCTCAATATTAATATTGAACATAAATAGCCTAAATGCTCCACTTAAAACAAAAAGATTGGCAGAATCAATTTTTAAAAATCACAAACCAAACACCTGCTGTCTTCAAGAGACTCACTTAACATGTAAGGACTCATATAAACTCAAGGTAAAGGAGTTGAAAAAGGTATTTCATGCAAATGAAAACCAAAAGTGAGCAGGAGTAGCTAGTCTTATACCAGACATAACAGACTTTAAAGCAACAACAGGTTAAAAAAGAAAAACAAAAGTCAAAGAAGGTCATTATATAATGATAAAAGGATCAATCCAAAGATATGAGTCATAAATTGATATTTACCTAACACTAGAGCTCCCAGATTCATAAAATAATTATTACTAGACCGAAGAAAGAGATAGACAGCAAAACAATAATAGCGGAGTACTTCAATGCTCCACCTGCAGCATTAGATCATTGAGACAGAAAGTCAACAAATAATGGACTTAAACTACACACCAGAACAAACGGGCTTAACAGATATTTACAGAACATTATATGCAAGAACCAGAGCATATACATTCTTCTACTCAGACGTGGAACATTCTCCAAGATAGACCATAAGATAGAATACAAAACAAATGTCAACAAATTTAAAAAATATATGTAATATCAAGTACCTTCTCAGACCACAGTGGAATAAAACTAGAAATCAACAGCAAAAGAAACCCTCGAAACTAAATAAATACATGGAAATTTTTTTTTTTTTTGAGACGGAGTTTCGCTCTTGTTACCCAGGCTGGAGTGCAATGGCGCAATCTCGGCTCACCGCAACCTCCGCCTCCCGGGTTCAGGCAATTCTCCTGCCCCAGCCTCCTGAGTCGCTGGGATTACAGGCACGCGCCACCATGCCCAGCTAATTTTTTGTATTTTTAATAGAGACGGGGTTTCACCGTGTTGACCAGGATGGTCTCGATCTCTTGACCTCGTGATCCACCCGTCTCGGCCTCCCACAGTGCTGGGATTACAGGCTTGAGCCACCGCGCCTGGCCTAATTCATGGAAATTAAATAATCTGCTCACAAATGATTTTGGGGTTGACAATGAAATCAAGATGAAAATTTAAAAATTCATTGAAATGAATGATAATATTGACACTAGTTATCAAAACATCTGAGATATAGCAAAAAAAGCAGTGCTAAATATCTACTCAGAAAGTCTGAAACAGCACAACTTGACAACCTAATGTCATACCTCAGGGAACTAAAAACAAACTAAACCCAAAGCTAGCAGCAGAAAGAAAATGACAAAGATGAGAGTAGAACTAAATGATATTTAAGCAAACAAACAAATCCAAAACATCAATGAAACGGAAAGCTGGTTCTTTGAAAAGATAAACTAAATAGATATACCATTAGCTAGATAAGCCAGGACAAAAAGAAAGAAGACTCAAGAAAGCTCAATTAGAAATGAAACTGGAAACATTACAACAGATACCACAGAAATAAAGAAAATAATTTGAGACTACTTTGAACACCTTTTTTATGTATACAAACTAGAAAACCTAGAGGAAATGGATAAATTCTTAGAAAATACAACCCTCCTAGATTAAATCAAGAAGGAATGGAAACCCTAAACAGACCAATAACAAGCAGTAAAATTGAATCTGTAATTAAAAAGAAAAAGCCAACCAAAAAAACCCTAGGACCAGATGGATTTACAGCTGAATTCTATCAGACATTCAAATAATTGGTGCTAATCCTACTGAAACTATTCAGAAACTGAGAAAGAGGGAATCCACCCTAAATGATTCTATGAAGCCAGTATTACCCTGATAACCAAACCAGGAAAGAATATAATAATAATAAAAAAAAAGAAAACCACAGACTAATATCCCTGATGAACATAGATGCAAAAATCTTTAACAAAATACTAGCTAACTGAATCCAACAGGCCAATCAAAAAGATAATACAATGTCTGGCACGGTGGCTCACACCTCAATCCCAGCACTTTGGCAGGCCGAGGTGGGTGGATCACCTGAGGTCAGAAGTTCAAGACCAGCCTGGCCAAAATGATGAAACCTCATCTCTCCTAAAAATACAATAATTAGCCAGGTGTTGAGGTGCGTGTCTGTAATCACAGCTACTAGGGAGGCTGAGGCAGGAGAATCACGAATTAAGGAGGCAGAGGTTGTGGTGAGCCAAAATCATGCCAATGCATTCCAGACTCAGCGACAGAGAAACTCCGTCTCAAAAAATAAATAAATAAATAAAAATTTAAAAAAGAGAAAAAGAAAAAGAAAAGAAATACATAAAAAGAGACTACACCATGATTAAGCGAGTTTTATCTCAGGGATGGCTTAACATAAGCAAGTCAATAAATGTGATATATCACATAATTAGAATTAAAAACAAAACAATATGAACATCTCAATAGCTGCAGAAAAAGCATTCAATAAAATCCTGCATTCCTTTATGATAAAAACCCTCAACAGACTAAGCATAGAAAAGACTTACCTCAAAATAATAAAAGCCACATAGGACAAAGCCACAGGCAACATCATACTGAAGGGGAAAAGTTGAAAGCATTCCTCCTGAGAACTACAGCAAGACAAGGATACCCACTTTCATTATTTCTGTTCATCATGGTACTAGAAGTCCTAGCCAGGGCAATCAGGCAACAGAAAGAAATAAAAGGCCTCCAGATTGGTAAACAGGACATCACATTATTGCTGTTTGCCAATGACAGGATTGTATACCTAGCAAACTCTGAAGACTCCTCCGAAAGACTCCTAGATTTGATAAACAAATTCAGTAAAGTCCCAGGTTGCAGAATCAATGTACATAATTCAGCAGCAGTGCTATAAGCCAATAACGACCAAGCTGAGAGTCAAATCAATAACTCAACACTTTTACAGCAGCTGCAAAAAATAAAATAAAATACCTAGGAATATACTTAACCAAGGAGGTGAAAGAGCGCTACAAGGAGAACTACAAACACTGCTGAAAGAAATCACAGAGGACACAAACAAATTGAAACACATCCAATGCTCATGGCTTGGAATAAATAATATTGTGAAAATGACCATACCGCCCAAAGTGATCTGCAGATTCAATGCGATTTCCATCTAAATACCATCATCATTTCTTCACAGAACTAGAAAAAAAAAATCCTAAAATTCATATGGAACCATAAAAAAGCCTGGATAGCCAAAGCAATCCAAAGCCCAAAGAACAAATCTGGAAGTATCACATAATTAGACTTCAAATTTTACTATAAGGCTATAGTTACCAAAACAGCATGGTACTGCTATAAAAGTAGACACATGAACCAATGGAACAGAAAAAGAGAACTCAGAGGTAAAGCCAAATGTCAGGGCCAGTGGCTCACACCTGTAATCCCATCACTTTGGGAGACCTAGAAAGGCGGATCACTTGAGGCCAGGAGTTCGAGACCACCCTGGCCAACATGGTGAGACCTTTTCTCTACTAAAAATACAAAACTTAGCTGGATGTGGTGGCGTGCACCTGTAATCCCAGCTCCTCAGGAGGGTGAGGCAGGAAAATCACTTGAACCTGGAAGGCAGAGGCTGCAATGAGTCGAGATTGTGCCACTGCACTGCAGCCTGGGCAACAGAGCAAGACCACATCTCAAAACAAAACCAAAAACAGGTCATTAGGGAAATGCAAATCAAAACTACATTGAGATACCATCTCACACCAGTCAGAATGGCGATCATTAAAAAATCTGGAGACAACAGATGCTGGAAGGGAGGTGGAGAAATAGGAACACTTTTATAC